TGTGAGACTAGTGCAAAACCGAACAGTTAGAATGTTATTTTTAAATAGGGGGTGGTGCCACGCCCACAATTTTTTCATTTATGAGTTCTTTTGACCATATAAACTCAAATCAAAAATCAAAATTTAAATATCTTGCTTAGTTTTTGAGTTAGAATGTGTTTCTTAAAAAGTGGGCGGTGCCACGCCCACATTTTTTAAAAATATTGAATCTATTGACCATGTGAACTCAAATCAAAAATCAGAACTTAAATATCTTGTTTCGTTCTTGAGATATTATTTTTGGCCAGAAAAAGTGGTCATATTTCCTATAGTGAAAGGGTAGCAATGACATAAATAATCAACCAGCTGGGTCTCAGCTTCTGGCCACTTGGAATGCTGATAGTTTTATGTTTGTCACTGACAAAGATGGGTTAAAGGGTGTCCAAACACTTGCCCAAAAGCCGTGAACAATGCTCCGGTCGCGTGGCGTTCTGCGGGCTCGAACAATGGCAACAACTTTAGCCGTAACTGTAACTGATTTTCCAGCAGCGCCCACAAATTTAGGCAATAGTGTTGTGAATTATGACGGGTAATGGAAAAATGGCTGAAATATCGAATACGGCTTCCAAAAAAACATGTAATTTTTTGAAAAATGTTTCTCTTAATAAATCAAAATAAAAGCTCAGTTTATTTGAATTTTGTTTGAAAATTTCCAGTATTCTTAATAGTAAATGGCTTTTTTTCAAGACCTTATTTATGTTATATCTTATTTCCTTTACTCTCAGGCCTAAAAAAAGCTGAACTTGGCTTTGAGAACTTCAATTTGCCATCACTGACTGTAGAAGTAGTGATCCCCAGTTGACTGGCCACACGCCCGCAGTATAAACAACTCAATTTGAATGCATTTAACCGCGTAATTGAGCCACGCGCCGGACAGCTACGCGTGCGCTATTTGCGGCCAACCCCCGCTGGTAGTCCCCCCTCCCTTTCCTAACCGTTCCCCAACGTTCATCCCCTCCCACCACCTCCCATCCTTCCGCTAAGCGCACCAAATTGCAAACCAATTGGCATGCAACTGGTTTCGGTCGCCGGGATAATTGGTGGAGGATGAGGAGGTGAGCCAGGACGAGGAGGCCCAGTCAATGCCCAGAAATTAGTGCGTAAATGTTTTCTCACCAAATAAAAACGGCGAAACGCACCCAGTTCCGTCGCGAGTTGCGAGTTGCGAGTGGCAAGTAACGAGGCTTTGTGCCTCATTTCGCTACGCTTGCCGGGAAATTAACTGCGAATTATTCGACCAGACGAGCCGGCACGGGCACACGTCCAATTTGGTTGGATTTGCGATGCCTTTCAAACTGGAACATCACAATGCCGCTTGACAGGTGAGTCTGATCGTGATGATGATGAATTGATGACGCGTGCGATTCCTAAATGCTAACCAATAGCCCTCTCCAAAGGTCACAAAAAATGTGGGAATCAGTTTGAGATGGATTCATAATGGATAATCATGTGCAGAAACTATTCTCAGAAAAATAGGAAAAGATTCATCCCTTTAATATAGCCATTACTGTTTAATTTACTTAGTTTTTTTGCCAAATGTGACACCAATTTTTACTGCCCATGATGCTATCTCTCTGCCCTCTTTAATCGACCATAAGAACATCAAATATAATTTTCAACACAAAGGCGTTTTACAATTTTATTGCCCATGCGCAATTTCAAATATTAATAGCCCCGGACAGGATAACCGAAAACAGGGCCCGAACCAGTTAAGTTCGCGCAAACAATGCGAGAAAACGCGTTACACTTACAGTTAGAGCACAAGGCTTCAATATTACATGAGCACAAATTGCAATTTAATCCACAGATGTCAGCATTACGATCAGTGCTCAGTGCCCCAGAGTCGCTGCCACAGCAGCCCTTTTGCACGTGCCCCGGGGACGGAGTTGAAAAATGGCATTAAAGTCACATTGACAATCATCAAATTGTGATTCGCCCGGAAAACAACAAAGGCAAACGGCACAACCCACCCCTGACTGGATTTTCTGACTCAAGACACATGTGCCTGCCAACCGCCTTCCGTCCACCGCCTACCACCTCCCATCTGCCCGCTCCCTGGTGACACTTTAGCGTTTCCGGCGCTTCGTCCTTCGGCCTCACCCACTCCACCCCTCCCGTGACTCTTCATCAAAACACTCTGCGCAAATCTGTCATATAACTTCGGCAAAAGGACTCTTGGGAGCTTGTTTATGTCAACTTCAGACCATAATTTATATGAGCCCGCATATGTACATATATGAGTTATAGTACCTAAATATCCGAGCGGGCAAGTGGGCGTGGTAAGACTTATTAAATTTTAATTGCCATCAATGGCAGTGCCACCGAATCGCAGACTAAATGAACTAAACTAAGTCGCAACTTTATCAACCACTCCCAATTAAACATCCAACTAAAAGAAGGACAGCTCCTCCGCGGAGGGGAGCTCCCGGCCGAGGCGTATTTATCTCTGGTACGGCAGAGTTTTTGGAGCGCACTCAGACGCGAAATTGTCGTAGCAATCCAAATTCAATTAAACAAACACAATAAGTTTCGATAAAGCCTCGCTGATAAAGAAGACAAACTAAATATTCGCATAAAATTTACTAGCACCCAACCAGCCGGGGAGGGTTTCTGGCGAGAAGTCAATGGTGCAGATTAAGTGTTGCTCGCACCAACAGGGGCACACTCCAGGACACTCGATGAGGACTGTGATGTATGCGTAATCTGGAGCAATTCAGGCGCGTAAGAAGGTCCTCGTGTAGAGCGTGTAGACAAAAAACCCTACGCCACGCAAATTGATCCACAAAACAGTACACGAGGACAGAATCGAATTCAAATTCACGGAAACCCGGCTCAGATTAACGAGGCAAGTGGGTGGGTTGGGCTGCAGAAAACAACTTAATTGTGTGAGTGTCGCGTTTTGATTCTGCGGAAAATCTTCGGAGAGTGACACTGAAAGTTACCCAACTTCACATTCCAAGTGACAAACCGGATTGGAAAGCAATTGTCTTGGATTTGCGTCAAGTCGGTTGGGTCTCGTTAAGGGTAGCTTAACGGTGGCCGTCGGCGCGTTAATTTATCGTTTCACTGATTTGTCTCTTGGAAGGGGAATGGGAAGTTTTCATTGATGGGGGGCTGTTCCAGGACTAATTTACACCCCCAAATGTATAAGTTTCAAATCGCATTGGTCCTTAAATGGGTGTTGTTAAAGCTGTTTATGTTTTAAAAGAAAATTGCTAAGATTTGCAGGTAGTTTTTCACATATTTTAAATATAGGCTTTAAAAATATAATTATTGTTTGTCTAAAGGTTTTATGAATTTCCACAATGCTTTGTTCATCAAAAGAGAATTGGATCCGTCCAAAAGCAGATTCTGTTATTTGCGTTGAAAAATTTAAACTCGGATACTGTCACTTGCCTTCCCGGTTGCAGATTAAAACTATTAAACCTACCTCCATTGCAAGAGCGCCGTACTTGTGCTGGGGTTATGCTACTTCATATTCTTATTCTTGGACAGGTGGATTCCAAATTACTTCTAGAAAAATGTATGCTTTGAGTTCCTAATAGGGTAACTAGGTCCTTCCGACCCCTTTGGTTACCAATTTATAGATCTAATTTTGCCGAACACGATCCGTGTTGTGTTATTTGTAAAAATAAAAACTCATTATCCCATTTATTATCCCCTCAACCCCAGATCTAATTAAATCTTAAATTATGGAATATCTTTAAGCTTAATTTATCTTTACTTTAGGTCATAAATAACAGATCATTGTTAGTAATACCTACATATTTATAAATAATCATTATATATTATATTTTTTAAAATCTATTTATTTTTACAACCTTGGATCTTTGGAAGTATTTCTTGTTTTCTTTGATTTTTGCGCAACTGTCTCGTTTTTGAAAGTTTCCATGGCTAGATGTGTGCAACTAAAATTAGCATTTAATTTTATGCAAATTAAACAAGCTCCCAGCCGCCGTTGCTCTGTCCCGCTGCCACACCTCCCGCTGTCCTCTGGCTGTTTGAATGGCGCTCGACATTTGCTCACATGTCTGCAGCTGAATAATTTAACGACTTACATTTACAGAAATTAACGAACACCGGCGCATTTATCATATACATATATGTATGCATGTGTATTTATTAGTGCGCTCGTATGGGTGTGCGGTGCAAATAGGATTTGTGCGACTAATTGCAAAGTACTTAAGCAAAGCTTTAAACAAATGTAAGAGGAAAATTTTTAAATAAATTATTTAAGCAAATTGCCAGCCAACAGATGCAGTGGAGACCTCAAAAAAGAGAGAAACAAGGAAATCTGTTGGAAAAAAATGGAAATATATATGGAAAGGCAGGGGGTGGCCCACTCAAAAAACAGAGTGTTGCCTGCCATAATAGATATAAAAAGGATTCCTTCCGGACCGGAGTTCGGATCCTGCTTGCTTTTATGCAACGCTGTCAGCGGCAGTCAATCCGCATCCGAATCGGGCCCAAATGACCGGCCATGCATGGATTTCTGTTTCAATTATACGCATCTTGGCCCAAACACACGAAGGGGCGATTATAATATCAATGGGCGAGAGGTGTGTGCGCGTGAATTTATTCATTTGCTTGTCACTGTTTTGACAACCTCACCCGAAGGATACGGCCGGGAGTCCTGCGTCCGGAGTCGGCATTGTATCACCCAAATCGGATTAAGAAATTTCGTATTCGCATCCGTTTGCCGCACATACTATAATTGAATGGCCGGGTGAGCATTTTGCGGAGCGTGTGTGAGTGCTTGAGCCTCTGATGGCAAATGAGAAGCAAATTTAAAATTTTACACTTGACTTAGCATTGTTGTCCTGTCATTTCACACGCCTGCCACTCGGAGTCCTTTGAAGCTGCCTGAAATAAATTGTTTTTTCCCTCTCATCCCCAAAATGATAAAGAGCTTCGTATATACATAAATACATAACATATAAACGTTGTTGGGTAGTTTTCAAAATGTTTATTTTTCACTTGACATTTATGCAATTTTTGGTTTGCTCTTTTTGATTTTGCTTGCCACTTAAACGCTACAAGTAGTTGTATAATTAAATTCTAGATATGGCATTCAAGGTTCTAAGCACTAGCGTATAAGATATTTTTTATACAAGAACTATGTACAGCAAGTAATGTAATCGTAGTTAATAACACAAAACTCTGAATACTAAACACTTAAAGCAGTTTCAAATTTACAGTTTATCCTTGGCAACCATTGATTGGCAACCACTTCCGGATGCAGCTTCAGTGGCTCCTGCTTCCGGCTTCCCTCGTTTTTCGAAGAGTTGCAACAATCGCTGTTGCATCTTGCAATTTTATGAGTGCGAATGGCTGAGGTGATGGGCGCCCAGGGGATGGAAGTAGGGTCCGTAGGGAGGATACGGCACGGCATGGGGATACAAAAGGCTGCTGGCATAAGCCCCTGGGCCAAAGGATCCTCCCGTAGGTGGAGGAATGGTGGGGCTATTCACATCCATGCCTGGGTTTTGTTTCTTCCATTTGGTGCGTCGGTTTTGGAACCAGATCTTAACCTGAACAAAAAATAATAAATAAAGTGGTTTTAATAAAGTTATCAGGAAGGAATAGAATATTTTAGCAAGGAACTAAGGAATAGTTTTTTATAACTAACCTGTGTTTCCGTCAGACTCAAGCTGAGGGCTAGATTCAGCCGCTCGCAAACGCTTAGATATCTCGTGGTCTTGAACTTGTTTTCTAGAGAAACCAACTGCTCGTAGGTGAAAGCGGTTCGGGCTCTTCGGGGCTTCGAACCACCACCGCCTCCTCCGCCACTCTGGGATTTTCCATCTCCATTGCGACTGCCGCCCTTTTTGGAATCCGTTTCACTGCTGGGATCGTCGATATCACTGCCATCGTCCATGTCGTCCTGATCCATGTCGTTCAGATCCTGGGCTGTTAATGGAAAAAAATTGGAAGAGACAGAGGGATGGTTATTTTTGGCTTTGCATAAGTCAACAGGAGCGAGCGGGTCATCCATCACAAACAACAGACAACCGGTAGTGGGAACGTCAATGGCCTACGGCCAAACGGAAATCAATCACCTCGGCTACCGCATCATTGTTGGATTAATTGGAATTTTTGGGCACATGTTGGCGCACATGTGAGCAGTCGGCGACCCCACCGAGTGGGTGGGGACTGTCTAGCAGCATTGATTGTCTCGATGCGACAATCAAAGTTCACCAGTTGGCCATTTCTGGCTACTCGGACTATGCCTTGGCCAAGTCCTAGTCCCGCATATCGGTTACCACTTACAAGTTACCGGTTATGACTGCCGCCAATTACGGCAATTATTTTTGGCACGTTGATTGCGTCATATTACGCAAGGAAACGTGGCCGTAATCGATAGCCGGATGCCATGACAGAGTGACTGCCAACTGGCGCATAATAAGCCATTATAAAAACTTTAAAACTTGGCTTGTTAACAAATTTCGCTGCGGGTGAAAAGCGACTTGGCGGCAAACCCCTTTCAATTCCGCCAAATCGATCCAGCCAGGCGAAAAAGGGTCGAAAAGTGTCAACCCTCCGACAAGGATGCCTTTGCTAGTCCTGGTAATTGGCCAACATGATTGGCCGTGTTTGCATGAAATTAGAAGGGGGAAAGTGGGGCGCCAGCGGAGGCTGCTGCATAGCAGATGCGCCTGAAAGTGCACCACAGACTGGGCGCCAATTAAACCGAAAATTAACGTGAACGCTTCATTTAATATTTAACGAATTTCGCGACGACCGCGGAAAGGGCAGTCCCATTATCGCTGGTAATGGGCTGTGGAGTGTTTGCAGCCACTTTGATATGCATTAATGGCACATTAGATGCCCACCATCCACCAGCCGCCCGGCCCGTCGATATCTGACCGATTCGAGTCGACGACTGGCCCTGACCACTATTGGTTTGAGTCAATTGAATTACCAGCCCCAGAGGGGGCTCAAATCAAACGGGCTTTTCGGCCGGGACTTAATGCGCTGTCAAACAAAGGCGAAAAGGCTATGCGATGGGGGACTGGCTATCGGACTGGGGACCGCAACTGGTTAATAAGCGTTGCAACCGCAGTCTAGCCGAGGGTGTGGGTGCCTAATTACGCCGGCTATTCAACTGCAAAGTGCAACGTGGCGTATGAGGGATGTCCGAGAGCGGGTAGCTGGACAGCAAAATCCCGACAACAATATTTGCCTCGCCTGTGTGAGCAGCGTTTAATTAAACTTAAAAGGATTAAGAATATTTGCTCAGTCTAATCTGCAGGGTCAGACTAAAGTTAGTTATTGTTATTTATATCGAACAGAGTCTGAGCCATAAGCTCGATCATCATTAAAAGCAAACTTCATATATGACAGGGGTCTGCCATTAACAAAATGGCTGCTGTTAATTATAATTATGGAAAAAGCACTTCATAAGCAATTTTGATGATATGACGGCGGCAAAGTGGATGAAAAGGATGAAAGGGATAGACAGGGAAAGACAAGGACCCGTATGAAGTGCGCCATGCCATTCTGAAAAGGAAGCTGAAATTACAGCATACAATTTAAACTTAGTTATGAAATCCGAGTGTTAATTACCACAAACTGGCGCATAATGTAGACCCCCACATGTATATACCCTTAAAAAGCGATTCTGGCCCGAAATGGCTTATAAATTTGAAGTTCTTTGTGCGCCGGCAATCATTGTAATCGCATCCGCCTGGCCAATGCGACCCCGGGGAGCATTTGTCGTCTCATTTTGCCATTTTCATAAAATAATAAATGAGTTGCTGATGGAGGGATATACTCGTAAAAACGGGCCGAGCTCCGGCTTTTGAAATTGTCGCTTAACTTAACTTTACAGACAAAGTGCAAAGAGGGGCAAAATGGAGCAGACACGCAAACAAGCACACTGCCAGGACTCCCCGGAGCACTCACACCCACTCACATTCTTGAGTGGAACGTCATGAGCGAGAGAGAAAGAGAGCGCACCAAACTGAGTCCTGAAAAAGAATAAAAGTTTCTCGCAGCCATTTTACATTTCGGCTTTCGGGGGTTGTTCTGGCAGCTCCATTTCCGCCGTTCCGCCCACATTTAAATGTTGGCCACCCCCACCCCACGGACGAGCTCCCCCCAGCCAGTACCACTCACACATCCGCAACATAGTTATCGCATGTTTTTTCATATGACTTCTGGGGCCTGGCTATCTGGATTATGCAGACAGTATGCGGCTCTGTGTGTGTGCCTAGTTTTGTGTTGTTAGTCTTGTGCGATGAGTTTGTTTTGCAATTTAAATGAAATGCAAATTGCTGCGCCTAAAACGCAACGAATGGCGCCTTGGAGAATTGCAGGCCGACATGGCGTATGCGTGATATTTATGAATTATTAACCGACTGCACTTGTCAGGCTCTCGAAAGCCAATACGGACGGTGGCGGCGAGCGGTGCCATAAAATCTAATTAGTCGCAATGACAAAGGGCTGCATAATTACGCCAATCTAAACCGAAGCGATACCAGCAGCAGCATTAACACCTCCTCCCACAATGGGTCATAAAATCACAGGGGGGTGGCGGGTGCTCTCTGTCTTGCTGTGAGTGTGTGCGTGACGGCGCCATTGAAGCGCCTAATGAATGTGCGGTAATTAAGTACCTTGCTAATTAATGACTACAGCAACACCAACCAACAATCGTTGAATGCCGGCCCGCAAACAGTGCGTATGCGTGATGCCGACACACACAGGCACACCGATGTCTTTGTCTGGCTGCGTGGCTGTCTATCTGTCTGTGTATCCAGCCCAGGGGTTGCTGTAAACTTGCGCCGACAATAAACTTCCAGCAACAGCAACGCCAGCAACATAATTATTTCCAACATCATTATCGTGGCGAAGTTTCCCCCGACTGTCTGTGCAGCCTTCACCATTCGAATGTTTGCAACCACTCGAGCGCCCCACCATCCCCCTTCCAGCCGACCCTCAACCGAGCGGTGGGTCGTTGGCGCGGCCATTGAGCCGCTTTTATTAGCAGTTATGTCCAGGGCCCTCGCCCGCCATTGATGAAGTTAATTGTGTTTTATTAACACAAACACAAATGCGCAAACACCAAAGCCGACAACCAGCAATGGCCGATAATGTGTCGTTGATAATGATTCTGCTGTTGTTGGTACTTTTGTTGGAAATTTTGTTTGGAATTTTTGTTGTTGGTGGAAAATGCCATTTTCCGTGTTTATAATTTCCTACATAACGAATTGAGCCAGAAAAGGCGAGAGAATGGCAGTTTAAAGTGGATAAATTAATTGGCTAAATAGCTTTCCTGGCCAATGTTGACACATAGCAAATATGAGAAGATTTTTCAAATTATTTTTGAGACTGCAGAGCTTGAGATTGAAAAACAAAAAGGTCCTTTATGTCATAGGAACTGAAGGACTTCTAGAGATCGCCCGTTATAGCGATAGAGCAGAACATATTGGGAGTTATGGTTGGGGAAGCCCAACAATTCAAGACAAGGAATAGCGAATGATATTCTCATTCTCATTTAGCAATTAAGTCAACTCGTTTATAATCAGATCATGAGCAGTGTTCAAACAAACCGCTGCTTCAAATTTTCCAACTTAAACTTAAGCTCCATCAACCCCAGACCCCTGAAGAGCGTTTATTTCCTTTTTCCTGTTTTGGCGCTTTGGCAGCGGCTTAGCGAAGCCCTGCCACCCCATTATGCCGCCCACAACAACTTCAATCAAATTTGCAAATTTTTATTTGAGCAATTTCTTTGCAACGAGCCAAGCATGAAAATCAATTAATTTTCAGCAAAATTTTAGCCAACCAACGAAAAAGAAAAAAAGGTAGCAGAGGTATTGAAAAAATCGTTGGAAAACAAAAACCTGATCCGCAGCAAGACAAACAGTAGGAAGAGAGGAAAAAAAAATTAGAGCTCGAAAATAAAAAGAAATTGTAGCTTTGCTGGTTGGAAATGGCTTTTCCCCAATTAAAACATCAATCAATCAATTAAAAGCAATTCTATTGAAAATCCTTATTGGATATGAGTGCAGCTTTTTGGTCTAAACAAGTTTACGTTTCGAAAAACGAAAATGGAAAAAAAGAAGTGCATCGGCATCGGCAGTGCCTGCCTCACAATCCAGAGATCCTTTTTTGGTTTCTTTGGCATTTGCGCATTTGTTTGCCTTGAATATACCCAAAATATAAATGCTTTCATGGCTAACATAAATACACACACACGCACACACTCCCCCAAATCAACAAAGCACTCTACCACCCACACAGTCATGTGAACGTGACTTGCGCCTGAAAGCTGGCAACACAGAAATCCCAGTGACTTCAAAATGGCAGAATCCGGCTCGAGGTGGTTTGATGTGGGTGGCAGAAACAGAAAGAGCAAATTCAAAATCAAAACATACCTAAAAACGATACAAGCAGCCGTATAAATATAACATGGGCCGCCACCCACTTGATATCCCTTGGAAAAAAAAGGAACAAGCCAGTAGGATGGGATGGGGCCAGGAGACTGTTTGCAGGTGCTCTTCTTTTTCCTCCCCCATTTACGTGTGTGTACTTCTGTTCAGTTGAGACGCCCAGGGGAACGTGGTTAGTTGGCGTGTCATGAATTCCCATCGATTTCAATCAAATCAGATGCCCAACAATCACACAGATTCATTTAGTCTGAAGTCAATTTCAAAGGCTCGACGAAAATGATTTCTCACCAGACATATCCTCGCTTTGATCGTCATCCAGACGCTCGTGCATCTCCTCATCCCGCTCGTAGCTCCACTGCCTCGGATGGCCAAAGGGACCTGGGCCTGCTGACGAGGGCAATTTGTTTCCCGTAAACTTGTTTGGGTCCAGGATGTTTTCCACGGAGAATGCCAGTCGCTTTGTGGCCGCCTCTCGATCGCTGGAAGCACTTGTTGAGGCAGAATTTCCATTTGTTGTGGCAGCCGTGTTCACCGATCGAGTCAGATCAACTGGGCAGACCTATGGAAGGATTTTATGAAAAATATAAGTCTTAAGGATTTTGAAAGTCATCAGTTAATATTCTACCCTCAATTTTTATGAAAACTATTTAAAAATAAATAATTATGTATACGGATTGGTATGAATAGCATACTAAGGCGAGATAAAGTAATGAAAAATAGGTTTAAGCAAAAAATTTTGTTATAATAATTGAATAAAGGAATCTCAAAAATATACATTTTACTAAGTTTTTGTGGAACTTTCGAAACAAATTGGGAAACTATTAACAAGGTATGGGACCAACATACTCCTCACATGTTGAGTTAAGATTTAGGATTTAAGATTTAAGTTAAAAAAGCTCTAAAGTCATTGGAATATTTTAAATCTATTCATTTCGCCAACAATTACCCACAAAATCCTATCACTCACCGACGGTGTGCTGTGGGACCCATCATTGCTGTCCTCATCATTTCCATCAACATTCAACTCCTCGCTGGTGTCGCTCCGCGCATAATTAGCAGCCGCAATCTGCCTCGAAGTGGCGGCCGCAGCAGCCGCCGCTGCCGCAAGCCCGCCAAGCTGTATTCGGAAACCGTAGTCGCTCAGATCCCGGCCACTGGGCGATCCGGAGTTGGAGATGGAGTTACTGGAGTTCGAAGCGGAAGTGGAAGTGGACGCTGAGGCGGCTGATGCGGCGGAAGTACTGGGAGCCTGCGTTTGAGCTTGGGCTTGAGCCTGTGTGGTGCGGGCTGCCACTGCAGCCACCAGCTTGATCCGCTCCAGATCCATGTCCGGCGGCGGGGCTGCCTGCGAAGAATGTGGCGGATTCGAGGGTGCAACGGGGGAGCTCAGCTGCTGCTCGGAATGCGTAGCCGGGGATGTCGGCGGCGACAGAGGCGAAGTGGCGGGCGATGGTGGCGAGGTGGTGCTGGTGGTGCTACTACTGGGCGCCCTTAAATGGAACACTCCAACACCCTGATGAGGATGTGGGTGTGGAAGCGGATGCGAATGCGGATGGGGATGCTGATGTGGATGCGGATGCTGGTGGTGCGGATGATGGTGCTGCTGATGCTGGTGGTGGTGCAAGTGTTGCTGAGCGGCTGCTGCCGCCAAAAACTGTGGGTTCTGCAGCAGGTGCGGATGTTGCTGCAGCAGTGCCGCATGTGGATGCTGCAGTGGCTCCGGACGGGCCAAGTGCCGCACGGCATTCAATTCCAAAAGTTTTCGCTGCTGAGCCGGGGAACTAAAGCTTGCGGATCCTGCAGATGTGGGCGGCGATTGCGAAAGACGCGGATTGGTGTTGTTGTGGTTGGTCAAACTACTGTTGTTATTGAGATTCGGCTTGTCTTTGTCGGGGGAATCTTCCTGCGACGGACTCAACCTGCTGAGCTGTTCACTGCTCATCTGCTTAAGCCGCTCCAGGGAGAAACGTAGCTCCTGCTCTTGTTTTCCAGCTACTGCTGAGCTATTTGTGCTTATTATGAACTTGGGTATTTTGGCCGCCGGCGGAGTGGAACCACCGGCACCAGCATTGCCAACCGGTGCCGCCGTGTCCACTTCCGGCGAGGTGTTCGACTTGGGCGAGTCGGGATTAGAGTTGGGACTCATTAGGCCACCGACGGCGGTGGGCTGGGCGGCGGCACTGTCGCTGGCCTTTTGCGCCGGCGATTGCAGCATGACCATATTTGGTTATTCAATTCACTGGGGTTCACTCGACGGGGTCACTGGGAGTTCACTGCACTGGGCACTGAGCACTGCGCTGTGTGTGTCCTGTCACCTTGATGGCAGCCAATCGACTGTCCACTGTTGGCGGCGCGTATCTGCCAATATCCTGCTGCTGCTGTGGCTGATTCGATGCGATCCTGAGCGTAATCCGCGCGCGCGACGACTCACATGCTCAAGAGCCAGAAGCGTAATGAGGGTTGGTCCGCTTTCGATTCGATTTCGACTCCGTAGCCGATAATCCAACAGATGTGTGTGCCTGTGGCAAGTCAACTGCTAAATGGGAGGCAGACAAATCTGCTTCTGCTGCTGCTGCCACTGCCTCTGATTTTGATGCTATTTCGGGTAGCAGTGGTGGCAGTCAGGATGGTGGTGGTGGTGGCTGGTTGAGTGATTCTCTCTCTCCACGCCCACAGTCGTTGAGTGGCTCTTTCGCTCCTCTTGAGTGGTTTGGCTCCTTCCCGCCGGAGCACTAATCTCTACTAGCATCTAATGATTTAATTTGCCTTCCACTCGTTAGCAAATGTAATGGTCTGTTGCAAGTCTAAGCCACAGCAGCTGGACCAGAGAAAGGATACACAAAGAGATTGACAGGGACGGAAAGAACAAGCGAGAGAGAGAGTGGAGTGGAGTCCTGCGGCCTCGGAGGAGTCCTGTTTTACATAGTTCTTCACTCAACTGTAATAGCCACCCGGCGGTGTGGAATGGCGACAAGGCAGCCTACCTGCCACAAGGATGTGAGTAATTGTCAAATTATTTAGCGCAAAATTTGTTTGTTTCGACGCTCGGCTGCTTTCTGCTTGGTTTGCACGTCTCCCCCTCGACCAATTTTATTTTTATTTTTATTTCTGTGAGATATTTTTTGACTGGGCTGGCATGCCTGGTTTGTTCTTAGTCACTTATGCATGAATGCTTTGCGGCAGCGTTCTGCCAGATTTTCTTCAGCATAATTGAATTTTTTAATATTTTCGCTCTCCTAATTATGTTGCTAATTAGTTGGTTTATTTATTTGTGTGGCTGGCGAAAAAGGTGAAAATCATCCATTGTGGCTTGCATCCTTGACACTTTCTATGTAAAACTCAAAAGTTTATTGCCGCACTCTTCACCCACAGCCACTTTCTCGCTCTCGGCTGTCTGCTCTCTCCTTTTCTGGCCTTTCCCCTGTCTCTCTCTCTTTTCTGCGCCTGCCCCGACACAAAATTCCTTTAAATTGAACAAAATTTTATATGCGCTTTGGCACAGACGATTTAATATCGCATCCAATTTGCGGTTTATACGCATCGCAGCAGTGGCCTTTAAGGGGGGTGGCTGGGTGGCCGAGGGTTTGGGTGGCTGATAGGCTACTCTTCCCGGGGGCTTTGGGCTGCGGACAATGGGGCGTATAAGTGACATCGTTAAGTGGACGCCGGATGCTGCTTAATGAACTTCGACGGCAGACGCAGTGGGTGTGTGGGGCTAGGATCTAGGATATTGGTGCTTCCTTCTTCGACTTTGTCTTCGTCCTTGTCTACATCTTATGGGTTTTGTCTCTCTCTCTCGCTCTCACCTTCGTCTTTCTATAATTAACCAGGGGATCGGGATTCTTAATGAGCAGCTTGTTATGCCGTTTTTCGTTTTAATTAGCTTTAAGATGCTCGCCACCAGCACTCGTTTTAATTGGTCCATTGATGGTAGGGCTTAACCGGGCCCAAGTGCACCTAGAAAAAGGCTTATTCGCATTTATTCCAATCCAGACGAAGGACACCCCTGCGTATACTTGATTTCTCGCTGTGTAATAAGTGCTTAACTCTTTTACATGCAAAATTAAATGATGCGCATACGCACGGTAAAACCGCAAATTATTTTAATTGCTTGTCTCGTCATTATTCATTATTTAAGTGCGCTCAAACAGCCGACGTATACGGAATACGTTAGTATGTACATAGCCACGGCTTTTCGCTGTTGGGTGTGAGTTGTGTGTGTGTGTATGGGTGTCTGTGAATGGCTGTGCGATATGTGTGTAAGTGTTTGAGTGGGCCACGCAAATTGGCAGTTCGCCAGACCCACACACACAGAAACACACTCGCCTGCACACAAAAGCCGCTGTTTACACAGACATCAAACTTTTTGCGCTGCGGAAAAGCGGAAAATTGCTGCTGTCGCATGTGCGCCGCTCGCTCCCTCTCTGTCTGGTCCTCTGCCTCTCCCTTTCTGGCTGATGTACTTACTCTTCCATTTAATTAGTGAAAATAAGTATTAAATGAGCAGCTCTTGTTAAAATAAATAGTGCATGCAATGGCGGCAGCTTCCTTTGCTCATCCGCTACTCCCCAGCCCCCCTTGGCTTTCAGCAGGCTTCGCAAGATTTACAACTAATTAAAAGGCAAATAAAAAATAAATAAATAAGCTAAAATAGGCTGGGGAGCGGGGGAGGGAAAATCGATAATCAGATAGAAGCCGCTGACCTCGCGAGAAATGCAATTAAAATCGCAACTGCTCGGTCATCTGCATAATTATGCCATAATTAAATAATTTCCGATCTACCTACCTATAACACTCCCGTTAATTCGACTGTACCCTAAACCAACAGGGTACCCTTTATCCCTTGTATTTGTATATTTAATGAAGTGCGAGGGGGGTGGCCTCCATTCCGAGGCCCTTCCCTACGTTCATCCCACCTTCATCCCACTTCCCCACTCGTACTGTTTATTCGGCCATTTTGTTGTTTGCACTCTACTTGCCGTAAGCCCCACGTTAATTTGTTTGACTAATTAAACTAATGAGCGTTCAAAGTTAATACATAAATTAGTCAGCCAGCCAGAGCGGGGCTGTGGGGGCGGCAGGCGGTAGCCAGCTGTTATATAATCTAATCCAATCTAATTTGGCCATCAACTAATTATTTCAGTTGTTAATTTATTTGGATTTGGATTTCGGTCATTTATTTATTGGAATTCGCAGCAATATGATACGACTTTATTGCAGTTTTTTAGAATCTTAGATTAAATTTCCTATATGTATATTTTAGCCATTCAATACCTAATCGAATGTGTGACTAGTCTGCATTAAAAATGGGCACCTAAAAGCCCATTAGCGCAAGCACCACATCTTTCACCTGCCCACTTAGCAAACATGGCCCAATCCAGTTGGCCAGGTTCTGGTGATGTTTTTGTTGCTTCTGCGAGTACAAATTAAATATGCTGCGCTAATTCCTCCATCAATTTGCAGCTCATTTCATATGCCAACCCATTTCGCAGGCCATCATCATCATCGGCTTGGGAATCCGTATTGCCAATGGACGTGCCACGTGGGCAGGCAGCTTCACTGCCGGACTGCTGTTGAAATGCCGGCGGGCAATCGGCCGTTCCCCGGATGAAAAGCGGATGGGGCAGGAAACTAGTTTGCATTCAGCTTGTGCAGGTAATTAGAAAATTTCCATGCCAGGGCGAGTGGCGCGAAGTTGGCGAAATGAAAACAAAAACAGAAACGTGCTAATTGCAAATTAATTATGCACGATATTGAATTTGCTCTAAACGCAAAAGCGGAAACGAAAATGGTCTAAACGGAAGCCGGAAAAAAATTCTAAAATTTTGGTAAGCGTGAACGTGATTTGGAATCGGATGGTTTCTTTTCTGGGGGGCTCAGCGTTTTGTGTTTGGTTCCTCTAATGGCCGACACGATTAAGTGTCCTAGAGCAGCGGCATCAGCATATAAACAGCTAAAGTGTTAATTGCCATAAATGCTTGTCATTGTAGCGGTAAACGGCAGTAGATATTTGCCGCGCACTCTCCCTTTAGAGAGAGACAGGTAGAGCAAGAGAGACAAAGAGCGGAAGCGGAATCGAAATCGGAAGTGGAAGTGGAAGTGGCATTTAGGAAGCGCACATCTCGGAGCACTTGCACTCAAATGAATGAAATGAACTGCTAAATTATGCACGCGATTTAACCCTCATTTTAGCAGCCGCAACTTAGCGTAGCTATTCCAGAACCCCACCACCCACTCAAACCCCATAAAAGCCAGCCCAGCCACCCACTTTCTTATTTCTCTCTCGCTCTCCCATGTTTTTCGCTCCCTGCGCACTCGCATTGGAGGAAATAGCTTCTCTCATACTTACAGAAAGCCAAAAACAAGCCACGCCTCCATTCTGCAGACCAATTAGTGAAGATCTATTGCAGAAGTCACTCAACTCTCGAGAGCTGCACTCGAATGTTTTCAACATGGCCGCCAAACGGAAGTCACTCGACGAGCGAGAGGGAGCGAGGTCCTTCCGCGAGGACTTCCCCTTCAAAAGTGGCTTTTCGTTTTGGTCCTTTTGCAGACTTTTTGCACCTTTTATTTTGTCATTTGTGTGTAATTTCGAAAAATGTTGGCGACATTATGATGCTCGTCGCCAGTTGGGCTGGGTCGGGTCGCACGCTTAAGTGTCCTCCAGGGTACTTACTTCGTTAGCAGAAGTTTCTCGCTTCGTCCTTTTTCCCTTGATCCTTGTTGTTGTTTTTGTTGCTGGTGTTGGTGGTGCTGATGCTGATGCTGGTCCTGGTCCTGGTCCTGGTCCTGGTGCTGCCTTTGTTGTTGCGGTGGCGCACTGTGCTTGTCGTTTTGCGGATATGTCTCTTATTTTCATAACTGTAAATTGCTTTAGATATTAAGTCTGGTGTACTCGCTGTGGATTCTCCTGTACGAGTATGTATGTGTATGACACCGCGGGGCGCTGGGGAGATACATACCGGAGCAGGGGGAGGCTATTGCATTTGGAGCAGGGTCGTGTTTTCGAGCATCTCTTGTTGCCCTGCTAGATGGCAGGATATTTATTCTACAGGCAGGACAATATGCCCGCATGAGACACTTGGCGTGGAGGCCATTTAAATAGTTTCAAAGCTGCAGTCATTAGCAGCAACAATTGCCTTTTGCTCTGACTTTTGTCATTTACTCGACCAATTACAAAAGTAATTGAAGTAGATATTGCTTAAATTTTGAATCAGATAGGGATATCTAAAGGAAGTTTATTTCATGGATTATTTGTTTAAAGATGGTTACCACCTATAGCCATAAAATTCATCCACCTTGGCAATCTGACCACAAACGCACCACAAAATAAAGATTTTAATATGCGCAAAATTGAGACATAAATTAAAGTCACATAATTCTCATTAAAAGGCCGTAAACTCGCCCCGTCAGGCCGAAAAAATAAACAGAACAAAGAATAAGCGAGTGGTCGGTAGGCCAGTAATAAAAATATATGTATGCACCCCGAAAGACCTCTCGTTGGATCTTTAGCTCACAAAGACTTTTGGCACCCAGATCAAAGAGCAACGGCAACGACATTTTGGCCATAATTTAATAGTTTCGAAATACAGAAATTAAAATCTGAATTTGGCTGCTTAGGCAAATCAAAATAAACTGGGCGTATCGGCCACTAAATCCACACGCACACAAAGACGCTAATTGGCAACGTCTTATTACTTGAGGAACCACAGAGAGCCACCCAGGACGGCAGTGGCGTTAAGTGGGCGGCGATCCCCCTTTTAGAACATATGGGGGAAAGGGGTCCACCATCCCAGCAGCCTCTGGTTTTTTCGGTTTTTGGGCTGCGCGCGCAATTTAAGTTGAAATTTATGCGCAGTCGGACAGAAAGGGCATTAAAAATGGAAAGCAAATTCCCGGCTCAATGTGTTAAACGGCACATGTGATTTAAAACAGTATTTAATGTTTTTATTATTTCGGATTTTTTGGCCAGACGCTTTATCCATTGGCCATTTGTCTTCGGTGAGGCGTGGAATATTTTTGACACAAAGGAATTTGTTAATTTCGATATTTGCTTTTGTGTCCGTGATATTAATGATTATGAATATATTCAGTGGCAAAACAAAATCATAAACTACACAATACAGCAATTCGCATACAGATGTTTGGCTGCCTCCTGCGACTGTTCATGTGTGTGTGTGTGTGTGTGGGGGACAATACATGTGAATAAAATATTTAGCAACGCTCACACGAGCTTAGATTGCATAATACATATTTTATGAATGTTTTCGTGTTTTTCCTCTCGCTCGTACTCGCTTTGTTTCTTTCTGTGCCAAGTCAGGTCGCACAAAAAGTGTTGAAAATAAAAAAGTGCGCTGCAACAAAAAAATTCTCCGAAAGGGGGGGCACATTTTAAAGCCACTGCGGCAACAAAAGAAGAACAAACAACCAGCTCATGCCACAAAATGTTGCCAATGCTGCTACTGCAAAATTCGAGGAGAAAAACCGTGGAGTCGCGCGAAAATTCGAATCAAATGATTTGCTTGAATAGTTTTTAATAATTATTTTTTAAGATTCTGTAAGTTTATGCTACAATATCATACAGTCTTTAGAGTTTATAAAATTTCAAACATCTTTTATCTTAAAATCCAGCTATGCCCACTGTTCGTAACTCCCATTACCCATTGTTGCCACATGGCCAGGACCTCGGATTTTCGGCAATGGCCATGTTTGGCTTGCTGGCTACTGACTATTGGTTGAGTGCACAAACAAACACACATGAACTTGGCTGATGTCAATCCATCATTTGCCTTAACACCATGATTTGTTTATTTGACGGGCTGTATTAAGAGTAATGTAACACAATGCCCATTCGTTCTCCGTTGCTGATTGCCATAAATAAATAATTTTCAAATCAGACAGTGGCCGGATCTCCGAAATGGAAGAATTTGGGCAAGTGGAACTTGCATGCCTGATTAGGCCTTTGATTGTGCGGATAGTTTTGATGCATGACCAGAAAAATAAAGATATAACTTCAAGTGTTAGCTCCTGCCACTAGCCACACCTGAATTTCTTTCACTAGCCGTGTCTATTGAGGATTTATGGGTCGGTTTTTTGGACCAATAAAACCTGGAAGCAGCAACCACTTCCTCTTAATAAGCTCATAAAGTAACAGCCACTTAAAACATGTTGTTTGCCAGCAGCCACGACATCAGAAAGAGTCACCAAATAAGCCGTGAACGAGTTCCGCCTCCGAAGATGCCACATAAACGTCAGTGCCACATCATCATCTGGAGCAGCAACCCCTGGATTCCGAACTTGACTGGCCCTGTCTGTTTATAGAAATTAAATGACTTCAGACAAAATATGAAACATAAACTCAAGTCAACACTTCGATATTGAACAGCAAAACAATGGAGTGGGAGGCCTCGCTCCCCCCTTTTGGAATATAAATCCCAGGCCGCATTTGTGGCCGCTTCCTATGGCTTTTTAACACTTTCGGCTACCGAGTTGTTAGCATATTTTTAGTGTGATTTTAAAAATTTAAATTGTCGTAATCGTAAATTAATTTCATGGGACATAAAAATACAACATGCCAAGCCCGAAAATACACGGGCCCATGTTTCTTTTCTTGTCGTTGTCGTTGAAAAAGCAAAATGATGCTTTGTTTTATAATGCAATATATCTGAAGTACTTTTACTTTTTTATTGTGTTTTGAGTGTGCTCAGTTGGCCGTTGATGCCAGGCAATCGGATTTGAATAAGATATTGACTCGAGTACGTGCGGAACAGATAGAATTATGTACTTATTTGTCTAATTTTTGTAATTTAAATTGAAATTCATGTAATATTTAGAGAATGCATTAAAGAGTCATAAAAGCATTATATTCAACAGTATCTTAATTAGATGTGTAAATTATTTTTGCCACAACCAGGACGGGCGACTTTTGGTTGCACACGAGTCGCCTGCATGCCGTATTTGTGTCAACGCCTCATAATCATTACCAACCCATACCATACCAGACGGACAAAAAACAGCGAAAATGTGTTGCAAATGAATAAAGTTTTATAAATACACATCAAGTGCAATTAGACAGGAAATGCCGGCATGTGCTTTTCGGTAATTGTTTCCTCATTGTGACAAGCCAGCGGAAGGTGTGAAAATGATGGCCATTGATTGGCCAAGCTTAGGGGACCCACTCGCATGCCAGACTATCGTACAATATTTATGATAAATTAATGCAGTAAATGCAACTTGTAAATCTGTCACGCGTCTCAGTAAATCATCTTGCATAAGTAATGTGCAGTTTAGCCGAGGGCAGACGCCCAGAAACTGAAAATGTTCCTCCCTCCGAATCCGAGGCACTTTGTCACACTCGGAGAAACCAGAGACTCCCGGCTGCAACAGATGCTCGGAAAAAAGAAGAAAAAGGAACCGAACCGAAGTTGGGCGAGTGTGAAATCTTTCCTGAAGGCGGGCCGCGGCTAATCTATGACAGAAAACATGTAATCGGAGCGACGGGCCGAAAATAACTCGTTGGGTCCGGGGAGAGGACCTCTGGCTTCATTTGCAGCTCTTTACTTTGCAATATTCCCAGCGGTCTGCCCCTAAAGTTCCTCTGGGTGGCGACCCTGCGCCCAATTAAACTCACAATCAGCGTTTTACAGTCAAATTTAGTTGTTCGTATTAATTATAGTGTGTGGCCGCCATGTGCTGCACCGTCTGGGGGCGGCACTTTCTTTTTATGACTGTCGCGTAAGTGAAGCGTGAACTAATTGAAATTTGTTGCGCTGACATGTTCCCGCAGATCTGGTTGCCCTTGTCGATCGTCTCCAGCTCATTAGCCTGCTTCCCGTTGTAGTTATTGTCTAATTTTAATTAATTTATCACAAGCATAAAATGGCGCAACTTCTGACATTTCCTTTCCCCAAAGCAGTCCCCCCAACAAATCACTCACACGCCTCGTTGACCGACCGAAATTCTACCGAGGGGAGCCACTGCGGAGGCATAAATTTCCACCCGGGATGCCTGGCATTGCTCGACTATGAAACCGAATTTACGACGACTCCCCAACGCTCCTCATGTGATATTTTGACATGGCCAAACAGACCGACGAACTAGCGACAGCCACTCAAATACACATCTGAGTAGATCGTTTGGATGCAACAGCAGGTACAGGGACCAGCTATATTCAAATCAAAACATACGAAATATAATTATACACAAACACGAGGTATGGATATCAGTAGCTGAACTTCCATTGGTTCTTCCAGGTCTCTCGCTTGAAGACGTTCTTGTATGTCTCCACCGAAACCTGAAATTCTGGGCCGAACAAGGTGTTGGCCAGCGTATTTTCCACGGCCAGATTGCGGTTTGTGACGGCATGGACGATTATTAGAGGATCATTTTCCTGTCAAAAGAGTTTTAAAATTATTCTTTCAAAAATTATGCCATAGCTCACATACTTTTATAGTTTTTCCCTCATTTTCGAATCGCTTGTCTGGATCCTGGTGGGCACAATAGAAATGAGTGTAGAAATTGGGGATAGCCGAAGGACCAAGGTTCTAAAGAGGCGCAATCCATATTAGATATATAAAGATATAAGGCTTATGTCCTACCTTGTGAGATACCAAGCCAAGTGGCAAGGTCAACTCGCCTCTGTTCATGGTAAAGAATGGCTTTTCGAGGGGAAGCGTGAGATTCAGCCGTTTAGGCCCGCTCCATATATACATGGGCTCGTCCACCGGATCCATGGCCTGCAGCCGGAACTTCTCCCCGTAGGTCAGATATTGTCCGGAACGATTCTCGTCGTCCGGACTAACAATGCGGAAGCTACTGCGAATCGCCGGATGGGGGCTGGGAGCAACGCTCAGATCGCAAAGCTCATTAATTGTTTTAAAACGGCGGATTACTCCCTCCTGGGTGATCACCACCGACAGGGCAAGGTTCATGTCCTTGGTCTCCTCCCGACAGACATTTATACGTACTGGCTTCAATTGGACCACCACACCGAAGGCCAGTACCTCTTGTGGGGGCCCCAGAACCTGCTCCTGGTAAAAACGATCATAGATTGCTCGAGTCCTGTCCAAAAGCAAGTTTCCACTTTCCCGGAGCTTCTTAGTGTCTGCTATGCGGAACTTTAAAAGTAAAAGGACAAATTTGAATGAATGGCATATATATTTTTAAATATCCACCTCCTCCGACAGGGCTGTTTCAAACCAGTTGCCCACTTTAACTCCGGGTCCGTAAATTGCCATCATAAATATGTAGTAACCTCTGTTTACTTGTGTAAGTTTATTAAAGAATGAAAATTTTTTGTTTTTTTGGTAGTTTTCATCGATTTTTTTGTGACAGGTTGGTAATCACATACTTCTACTTCGTGTATTCGCTTTCTGTCTGAAAAAAGATCAAAGATAGCTCTCAGACCTGTGAGCCACACACAAAGCCCTATATGTAAAACCCACCGACAACTAACCGAGCATAAAATTTGCATGTGGCGCTTTGGCTTCGGCTACATCTTTGATCCTGTCAAAGAGGCGAAAATAAATTGCTCAATTATGAAATATTAACTGCACACGAGGCCGTCGAGGCACGGAGTCCCTGGCGCAAGTTAATTACTCATTTGTTGATTGTCGGCTGTGGTTAATGAAGTATCCAACTAATTACATCTTGAGACAAGCCGCGAGTGCGCATGTCGTCAGTCGCTCTCCGAGGAATTCCCGGTCATATTGAAAAATGTCGCTGCGGAAATTGAAAGTGCACGAGGCTTCTTCCACATAGGCCTCCTAAAAATCTCTGGAGCACTTTTCCGCCAGCTGCCTGCCAGCAATTTATTACCTTTCCCTTTTGACATCTTGACACGATGTCGCCCCCATCTCGCCACCCTATCGTATCTCGTTTCCATCAGAGTCTTTGGGGCTCCGAAATCACTCGCATTCATCTTTTGACAGCGGAAACTCATCGCTCTGGCGTCTAATTAGATTATTTGTCAGTCCTCCTGTTGAATATTCTGAATAGTGGCAATAGACGTTGGATTTGTGAAATGTTTGGGATTCTTTTGAGTGGTGTAGCCAAGTTATAAACAGACAGGATAATTAGATGCTTAATCATTGGTATTGTCTGTGGATTGTATTAGTTTCTTAAACTTTTATCACTTTCACCTTATTGTTCTTAAACATATTATAAACGGCTAATTATATACTCCTAATTATTAAATATATAAATATCTTTTCAAAATCACAATTTTAACCATTTTTATTTAAAATAATATACAACGAATTAAATTTATTTTAAAGAAGTTGTTATTTATTAATTGTGAACCATTTTTTCCAAGCTTAATACATAAAAATTTCTCTTGTACTTCTTACTAAAAACTACTAAATCTTTTATTTTATTTAGTTATTTAGTTACATTTACATTTATCCTACATTACATTTATCCTTAGGGCTTCTTTTTACATATCCTTTTACAAAAGCGACATCTGGATTTGTAGTTATATCAGAGCCTTAAGAATCGACCACACCATTTGACTAATTCCAGTAAGCCCCATTATTACAATAAATTGCTAACCATTTATATATAAGTAACTAGGTAATAAAAACGTTTCTTTTAAGTATATTTTTGAAAAGAAAAATATAGATATCGGTAAGTAGCTCTATGGTCCTTCATTTCTTGTAATCTTTTAAGTGTAAGTATGTAAGTAACCTTTTACTTACATTTTTGCTTCCACCTAGATGTGAGGTATTTATTTACCCAGAGCATATCTACATGACTTAAATTTATATAAAAATTAATAACTAGAGACTGCGCTTTAATATTAAAACATCTGTTTAAGTCGTTGTGTTATTTATTTTTATTTTTAGAAAATATTAGACAATGATTTTAACATAAAGGTTTTCATAAATTGAATATTTTTTTTTGGCGCCATCTATATTTGATGAAAGTATCATTAACAGAGAATGATTATCCTGCTGTTAAATTTATGTGGAATTTTGTGACTCTTATTAATTAAAATAATTCATTACAAATAATATAAGCTCTAATTTTGAAAAAGGAGCAAAATAATTTAAACTAAAAATCAAAAATTTTAAAATTTTAAATTATTTTTGCAGGTAAACGCAAGTCTTAAATTTAGAATTAAAATAATTTGTACTTCATTTAATTCTTATGTTATATTGGATTCTTTCTAGCAGTGGCAACAGTGGGTTTTAAATGCTGGCACTTGCCAATAAGAATTCTGAAGCACTGAAATTTACAGTCAAACGAAAGGAAATTCCAGTTCAAGATTTTCACCAGGAGCCCAGCAATTGAACTTGCATCATCAGGGGATGGAATGCGGCACATTCGGAGAATCTATTGAAAGCGAAAGTGTTCGGGAGAACAATAATTTTTGTGTGTGTGCCAGTCTGCGCGAAGGGGTGTGTTCGCTGACATTGCCCCGCATGGCATTAGGGGTGGGTTTTCGAGGCAGGAGTTTCAATAAAAAACAGGGCTACGAATCTAGAGTTTTTTGGCTTCAAAGGTACACAGTTTTCTGCTTTAAAATTCGGAAGAAACTATATATAAGGAGAGGTCTTCCAGTAAAAATATTATTCAACTATAATTTAATTTAGAAATTAGTTTATTTGAAAAACAGCAATTAGTGAACCCCTTTTAAAAACCTAATCAACGTTAACCATATTAAGCGAATTTCCTCTGATTTTCTGATACATTTTTTCCAGCCAACCTACCCACACTGACAATCGTGATGGCTGGGTTTCGGGGGCAAGGACACCGCCCCTGTGGGTCGCGGCTTACGTCCTGCGTTATTGCCCGCCCAAGTAGGTGGGCACACGCAACCTCTGCGTCGTGCCGACTGTTTCAATTAGCGAGTGCGGGCACTGGGTGGCACCCAACAGTGAGCGTCGCTCCGCCGGACTGGTTCTTTGTGTTTTTTGCCAAGAACCCGGGCAAAAACCTCTGTCGCAGCAGCAGCAGCAACAGCGGCACGTTCAAATAGACAGACACGTGTCCATCAGCGGTTTAACCCTTCTTAAGGTAACGCCCAAGGATTACCAGGCGACCATAAATCCCAGAACGTAGCGCCACCAATTTGCTTGGCACTGCGCATGTCAGACACCAGGGCGTGTGTGATTCACGGGGCGGAGTATAGTCGCCCGCCCACCGACTGGGCTGGGTCTTTGATTTCGATTTCGACGTTACCGCATCGTGGCAAGGCGGTATTACATAACGGTAACATGCCAGAGCAGTGCGGCCGACGGGCCAAACCGGTTAACAGTTACGTCGTAACTAGGAGCAACCTTAGCGGGACAGGAGAACAGAATCGCGGACAGGGCCGGCATTACTACGTCTTTACACTGACATGGGGTGGCTCAGAGATTCGGGGGTTGCTCAACTGCGGCGTCACTCAATTCGCGCATCCTGCTCAAGGTCGCGAATCATACGCACACAAGTACGAGTATTGTCCGTCACATACTCGTACACATTCTTTCATGGTAAATTTCGGATCAGGCGAACATAATCTCAGCATAATGCCCCGACGCACAGATTCACATGTGTGTGGTCTAATGGAATTAGTATGCGTGTGCAGGCCAACTTGTATGCAAGAGGGATGGTTTCCATATATCTTTTTCGATGCCTTCAACCACCCCCATTACGTATACGCAAAAGCTGCAGGTTATAGAAAGCTCAGCCAAGTTTCAAATTTGGTTTTAGAACAGGATAAGGTCAGAAGACAAAGGATAGGTCAGAAGAAGTTCTTATTAAAAGGACTTCGAATTAGAGGTTAAAGTGGAGTCTAGCGACTATTTATAAAAATATTTAATAACCATCATGGTAACTAAGAAACTTTTTTTAAGAACAACTCCACATCCATTATAATTAAAATCAGTTCGTAGTGGATTTTAGCTTAAAAATAAACATTTTGCTACCTTTAAAACCTTATTAAGCATCAACCTTAAATACCTTATATTTAAATACCTCTTCACAGAAGCCTAGCAGTCTACGCCTAACCTAAAAGCCCTATAGTAACAACGAGCAATCCAGTTTACTTTCTTTATCTTGCCTCCAATATTAGCCAATAATTCTGGCCATTTGTTAAATTGTTTGCGCGATAAGCAACGTTCGAATTTTCCACAATAGCCACAGCAAACATCAAACAAGGACAATTGTGTTCCGAGGCAACACTTTAAACAAAGACTATCGAAAATAGAAAGCCGAAACCGAAGGACCAAGCCGAACCCTGGACAATGACACTGACAATATAATGAGGATGGTGGCACTTGTCATTGTGTGTGCCTAAAATTGCCTCTTTAGATGGATAAATATATATATAAATATAGCTGTTGTGTGTGTATAACCGCCCCTGCCTCTTGAAATCGCACAAAGCAAAGTCAGCAGGAGGAATACAACTCCAGAGGTAGCTGCTTGACAAAGTTGTCATTGCGTGTTTCCAACAAACTGGCGACAAAGCTTATCTCCGATGGACACACACAAAGCCGCAGCCAGTCACTTTCAAACATCGGCACTCGTCCTCGGATACCCAGAAACTAAGATACAATGAGAAAACGGGTTCAAAGGGGTGCGGAGATGTGATCTGCTTGGCCACTCGAACAGCTGGTAGACGGTCCTTTGATAGTTTCAAAGCTGCATCCCCGTAATTAAACCCGGCAAGTGGCGCTTAAGTTTCATCTTCAACTGCAGGTCATAAATTTGATTGTCGTTTCGCCGGCTTCTATCACGGCATTCCCGGCTAGGGCCCAACCCAGTCTCCTGCTGGGCAGTCAGAGTCTAGTCGAGACTCCATAGCTTGTCGCTTATCTAAAGTCAAAACAATTTTCATATATTTTCCAGCCGGCAGCGGTGGAGCTTTTCATTGTCAGTGGACATGCCATTTCGCAATTAGCATTGGCGTATACAACTAATTTGCGCTCCGGGATACCTTCGGCTCCATTTGGCCCGACTAGCCACTAGTGTCCTTTGAGTCCTGCACCCACATGTTAATTAACAGCAGCAACCATCATTTGTACTTAAGTTGAATTTTATTTTGTGAACAATTATGCTAATTTGTTAAATAAATAGGCACGCACTGCCAGACTTAACGCTGCCAAGTTGGGTAATGCCCGGAAAATGGTTGCCATTCAAGTTAAGTTTTATGGGGACTTTTTTTATTTTATTGCCAGCTCCCTCGCTCTCGATGGACAGTCGTTCCAATTAAGTTTGCGTTTGCCATTTAATTACTCTAATACGGCACTCAGTCAGAAA